GCATACAAGTGCTGCTGTATGCAATTTAGAAAATCTTAGACCAACACATGAGGCTTTGTTCTCATCAGCAATAATTTAGCTATTAATAGGAGGTATTCAATGCTAAACTAGCTTGGATATAAACCAACATCATTAAGATGAACTATCTTGATTTCATAATCTGAAAATTATGCTCTTAATTGAGAAATACAATTTCAAATGCCAAACTGCAAGTTGACAATAAATACACATGTAACCATCTTATATATGCATCTATAAGTGGTTCACATGCTAGGTGAATGGGCCCATATTCACCTTTTATATATTCCAGAATTCAGGGGTTTTAGTCCCAACTTTAGCTGGTATAATCAATTTATTATGAGAACAAGCAACACAAGAGTATTCTTGAAGAATCTTCTAGTTCTTCAGTATATGCTTATCTGAATTCTCAGATAGCTCATTTAAAAATGACAAATGAAAACTTCAAGTTTATCATGGCATGTGCTATCTCTAAGTAGACTTCTGGTTTACTATGGCATAAAATTTTGCATCAGTAAACTTTTGATTTACTATGGCTACTTTTGTATCAGTAAATTTCTGGCTTATAGTAGCTACTTTTGCCTTAGTACAACTTCTGGTTATTGTGACTGTTTTTGCATTAGTAAACTTCTGATTTAATATGACACATGATATAGTACAAATTGAAGAATAAGGCGGGTAACTTCTTACATACATATTATTTTACTCCCTATGATTGTGGAAACATGAATATTTTCAATCTTCCAATTATTTGTGGTCTCAATATGATAGCCATTTGTATTAGTAAACTTCAGCTTTACTACATCATATGTTTTGACCATAATCATATAATATGAATGGCATATTTGTATATAAGCTCTTTGAGAGCCTTCATTTATTATCCACAATCTAATATTTATCAGACACTACTGGTGTCATATGTCTTTTAGACAAACAGTTAGCTCTTCAGGAGTTGTTGATACATTTTGTACTATCAAATATTGCTCAGACACTTCTGGTATCATGAGAGAAATTCATAATCAAATAAACAATATAAAATAATTATTTAAGCACAAGAAAACACCTCTTCATAATATTTTCCTACTTCAAGAGGAAATTTCAATTGTGTTACTTCTTTTGGAGCAAATTTAAAATACGAAATATCGAGTATATATTCTGTCAATCATATTAACTCTTCTGGAGGTAAATTGTAATATATTTACATCAAGAGCGCGTTCATATTTACGAATTTATTAATATTATCACATTCACTTCAGGGAATGAATTAATATTTATCAAAAATTCTCATCCTTCAGGAAATCGAACATAATTATCTGAACGCGCATTAATCACATCAAATTATGATGCTTCAACCTCTTTTAAAATATTTACTACTTCAGGAGCAAATCGAGGCATGCATGTAATATAGAGAATATTTCTCTAGCTTATCTTCAATTGTAACCATAGAAAGCCAAAATTATCACTTTTGGTGGTCATAGGCATATACCACTTCTGGTGGTTAACAAAATTTAGTTACAATGAGATATACGAAACATAACCACTTCTAGTGGTTGTATATTTCTTGCAAACTCTGCTGGAGTTTAAGTGGATCTAACAATGTTATCCACTTTGTATTTCTTTATTAAGATAGTTAGGATGAAAATAAATACCAAAATAGGTAATGTATACGTAACATATAACCAAACAAACGATGATAAAGATATTAAAATATAAGTAAAAGGCTCAAATTAAATTACGCAAATTTGGCCACTCCAGATGTAAGTGATATCTGCATCACTACTGCCAAGAAGAAACACTCACCACCTCAAGGATATAATTTGTCTTATGATGCTCGGAATGAACAAGATCTAACCACGGACATAAGAGTGTCGCCTTACATTGGAGATGAACACGCCTCAAGGATATAATTTGCCTTATGATGCTCGGAAAGAACAAGATCTAACCACGGACATAAGAGTGTCGCCTTACATCGGAGATGAACACTAAAATAGAAATTAAATTCGAAGTAAGTGCTCAAAACGACAGAGTCTCGTACTGATAACGTGTTATAAAATAAAGACTATACAGTAAATAAATCGAAGACAAGTATAGAGAGAGATTGATATTTTTATTCAACTTCAAACTGATGTACATAATGAACTGAAAACTCCTTTATTTATAGATGAAAGGAAGCAGCTACGAGACTTTTCAGGAAGCAACTGCGAGGCTTTTCTTGAGCTGCTTGTAAGTTGTGTGCATGAGTTGCTTGCAACCTGCCTGTTTAATAAGAAACTGCTGCAAATCATTTCATTGAGTTGCTTGCAACCTGCCTGCATCAGCTGCTTGTAGATAAACTTCAATAGAGTGCCAAACGGATAATTTTCTTCAAGAAGATTATCTATAGCGGAGTAATAAATAGACATCCACATTATAATTATTTTCATAACACAAACAATATTTTCCGATAATTATTTTCCCACCCAAAAGATTTTCAAATCATTTTGAATAGTTGACAGAGGCGATAAATTTAGTAACGGCATATCTTGGATAATTCTTTATAGGCAGTTGGCATGGCCATATAGAGTGAAGGGTGTTCATTTCAAGTCCCTGATTGAAAAATAATATTGAGTATATAGAAAATCATATTATGCATATAAGTCAAAAGTTATTTTTTATAAATTTCTGTCTCCGTCACTATTTATATAAATTTATGAATTGTGTTCTTACATAATTACTTGATACTTATCAATACGTGATATATCATATTTTTCAAATGTGATTTACATGTTAGTAATAATTAAGACACTTCTTGGAATATGACGGAATAGGAAAAGAGAAATAATATTTACAACTAAAAGATAAAGTTAAAATTACAAATTTTCATAAAAATCTTTCATTTGATGTACCATATGAATAAGTTAATAGCAATTTGTAATTTTAAAATATAGGTGTGATCATACAATTATTATTTTATGGGACAATTTTGCTTAGAATGACGGTGAAATAAACAAATCCTTGGTTTTGTGATGTTAGAGTCCCAATTTACAAAATATTACGCCAACAAATTTATGTGCTTATATCATATTTTATGGCTAATTAGCATGACACAATTTTCTGTACATTTATGTTTTGTAATGACTAAATGTACAGGATTAATTAATATTTAATATTAGATTATGTCTACCGTAATGTGTCTTCTCATATGGCCAACTTTAAGTTGTACTTTTAAGTATATTAATTTCAACAACTAGACTTTTGGTCACAAGAAAGCAACCTAAACAGATGAAATAAAAACATCATTATTATCGTCTATAAAAAAAATATTATGTGACATACGTTTCATTACATATTTGTACTTTATAAAATCAAGATAAGTAAGATTATATGTATCTAATCAAATTATAATTATTCATTGCGTATGTTCAAACGATATCCAATCATGTTTACTTCGATAAATAAGTCACCGATGCACATTCACAGAATCTTGTATTTTTTTCTTTCAAGTATAATTAATTATTCTAAATTTTATTTTAACAATATATTGAGATTATTTTATACATCAAAGTTAGTATGACTTGTCATACACGTGCAGCGCACATGCTGAGAAACTAGTGCAATATAAATACATAAAAAATGAATCTATCAATTTCTTCCTTAAAGGAAGCTCACACTAGTTCACATGAATCTTGTCAAATTTAACAGTTACTAAATACTATAGGGTCGTTTGGTATGCAGGATAAGGTGAGATAATGTGGGATAAAGTGTGGTACTAAATTTATACTATGTTTGGTTGGTGGTATAAATTTATACCACCAACCAAACATAGTACTGTAAACTTTGTCCCAAACTTAATCCTGGATATCCCATTTTATCCCACCTTATCCCATCAAACCTGGTATTATTTTATCTCACCTTTTAGGTGGGATAAATTATTTCAGAAATTATAATCCGAGGATTATAATCAAGGAATACTTTAATTCGCGTACCAAACGACCCTGTATGTACAAGATTTATTAGAAGCAAAGTTATGTAGATTCATTCCAAAAAACAATATTCGACTATTTCCCTTTTAGCCAAAAAATAAATAAATAAAAGTAATACTCCTTCCGTTTTAAATTAGTTGATATTATTCTGTTTCAAAATAAATGACACACTTTTAAATTTAAAAATAATTCAATTATTTTTTATTAATTTTAGCCAAAAAAAATTTTATCCGTTAAACTACCACAAGTTTCTTAAACTCCGTCTCGAAACCAAAGTACTTAATTCACCACATTCTTAAAGTGACTAATACTCGAGTGCTATTCCCTGCATCTCGCCCTTGAAAATTTCTACGGATTTGCTAGAAAAACCGGCCGTTGCCCACCCAATTTGAGGGAATTCAGTAATTAATTAAGTACAACTTCCAGTTTTATTTTATTTTGATGTTTAGAGGACGCATAGTTTACCAAGGTCGCGAAGTAACCTCAGCAATGGCGACAAGTGCTTCTGTGCTTGGTAATCTTTCTCGCTTATTTATCGACTTGCAGTTGGTTATTTCAAACATATTAAATTTGCCAAATATAAAAATATCTGATATTCGACTCACAAAAAGTAGGGGCTTTCTGATAATTGAAGTTATTGATCATCAAGTTGTGATTTTTTCTACACCAGTTCTTTTTCAATTTGTTCATTGTGCTCCTTTGGGGATATGTTATCTGCTACAGAATAAAGGTTAAGATTATCTCTTACCTCTTGAGGTTCGACTAATGATTTCATCAGTTGGCCATGAGGAAATAGTTAGCGGTTGTTCATCACAAGTTGGACTCTGGTCTCTGTTTGTTTGTTGGGGATTTCTTTTAATTATATTTTCTTCTTCTTTTTGGTATATATCAAGATGTGCATTCTTAACGTTTTATATAAAAGGGTCATTAGTTTTCCATTTTTCCTCCTTTAAGTAATGAATTGGTCGGAAGGGAATCATAACAAGCATGTAAATGAAATTGCTTTCACTATACTTAGTGTTGGCATCAGAAAGCTTGATAAAGCTTGGAGTATTAAAAATGGTTCTCCGATGTTACGCAATCCAGAACCATTATTTCTTGCAGATACAAGAAAAGAAGTACAAGATAGGCAAACGAAATACATGAGTATTCAATAAGAAGTCATCCTTCTTTATTTTCTTGCAGATGCTCTTTGTTTTCCTCCTGTCTTTTAATTGATGCTGTCCACAGAAAGGAAAAGAAAAAGCGGAAAAAGATTTTAAGTCAGAAAAGAAATTTTTTAATAGTGAATTAAACTTTTGTCTAAATGCATAAAAAGAGTAACTTACATATCACAGTTAACAGTTCTGGAGACAGGGGTATCCATAGTGACACCACACTTGGTGGGAAGAGCTTGAGCTGCATCGTCTTTAAGGTTCGCGTACCTATTAGCAGCAGCCTTGACACAATTGCAAGCTGTCCTTTTGTCAGCTGTGGTTTGAGCCAATTCTTTTAGGCTTTTCACCCCACTGCAGCAAGCTGAACTTGGATCACCGCCCTGAGTAAGGTAAGGGATACATGGTGCTAAAGAAGCGTCCACTTGACCACAGGTAAGAGCTTGTCCTGGCTCAAACATGAGCTGAATCATGGCCAACACTGCAATGGCAATGATGATTCCCTTCATCTTTTCTTCAGTTTTTGTGTAAGAAAAAAGATAGTTTTAAGGTGGAAAGTGAGGCAGGTGTTTTTCTCTGGATTCTTGATTAGCCGTGTTGATGACTAGCCAGTGTCTTAGGAGGGTATATATAGGAATATGAAAAGTGCTAAGAAAAGTAAGTTGTTCTTTGCTGTGGTAATATCAGTTATCTCTTTTCGGATTTTTGTTTCCTTGTTATGTCATTTCCTGATTTGTTTCAGAAGAAAGGAACAAATAGTCTTACATGTTATGATAGTTCTTTGCAGGTATTGATGATGCTCACCTTTCTCTACTAGTGGTGCTTAGGGATAAAAGAACTCAACAAACCTTATCTCTTTTGCATCAGAAAACCACTTTCTTTCTTTTGCAGCCTTAATTGGCCATCTGCGAAATACATATCTCTGTTTTGTGTGCCAGTATGACAAAAAGGTAAACCATGCATGCTGTTTAGTATAACTTACAAATTGATGTATCGATTTATTCCCTATATTATTTACTGATTGCATCAAGTAGCTATTTTGATCATCATTTCCTTGTAAGCTTTTGGATTAGATGAACTCAAACTCATTTTTATGCATTTGAGTCTTAATTTAGTTAGCTTGGATCAGACTTCAAAGCGAACCAACGTATTCGTGGAATATATCCTCGAGCTTCATTAATTTGTGCATCACTTTGCTGGTTTTCTTAGCATATCATTTGTAAAGGAACAAGAAAGCCCCCAAAATGATTTGTACAAGAATATAAATGTTTTTTTCCCTAGCAGATGATCACACTTCGATGCATGAGTAGAACATTTAGCAGAGAACATTGGAGCAGAATTTAAGATAATGAACATTCGAGCAGAATTAAGACATCTAATGATAAAAACGACTAAATGATTATTTGATCAGCGATTGTTCTGATTCAAGGGGTCAGCATGGGAACTATTACCCCCTCGCTACACGCCGGTTGAATCAAAAGAATATTACTCCCTAAACAAAATGACAAAGAATGAGAAAAATTAGTCCCTTTCAAACAAATTCTCCCATACAACTTACAACCATTTAGCTATTCAACTTGGAAATTATGGAAGTGATGAGAACTGATGCAAGAGAGATGGTGTTTCAGTGCCACTGACAAAATGAACATGGATAATTGTCATCCCTCTTTGTGAATGATAATGTTTCTTTTCCTACTTTAAGCAAAACCAATCCCACTTGTACAAACAGATTGAGAAAGAGAGCTGAATAAATGGGTATTTTTTCGAAACTCATCTGGTGCTCTTTGTGCTTTGACTAGTACTACATTGTTCCCTTAGTTTAGAACAAGCAGTGCAAGTTTGCGGTTATCTCACTATAGGTCCTAAGAGTGGGGGGGGGGGGGGGGTGTTATTTATTTTCCTATCTTCTTTTGTCAACGTGTTTATTCAAACTCAACAAACTTATATATGCAAGTTCAGTCAATATTTCTTTACCCTCAGGAGTTGGTCGACTTGGACTAAAGTCTGAGCCAAATGAGTAAACTCTGCCTTGTGTGCTAATATCTCTGCATTATGTTGCTAGGTGTGAATTACATGAGGATATCCATAAGAGAGAAAAATTCAAGAATTTGATTATCACTCTAGGATGAGGGGAAAAAAGAGATCTTGATGATCACGCACACTGGCATTAGGACTTGACTACAATTGCTTTGGCATCACTAGCAAAATTCAGATTTTCAGAAATAAGTATCCATTATTACTATTAATCCTGAAGAGAAACTCGTAAAGATACCTAGTAATTAAATATATGATGCCAATGTCATCTTAATACATTTTATATCATCAAAATCTAATAGATGTTAAATAATAGAATCTACTGCTGGCATATACTGGTAATCTGCACTAATGTGTTTGAGTTCTTGGATTCGTTCTAGGGGAAATTCATGGGGCTAAGATAATCCAATCATCTGATGATATATCAGTTTATTTAACTAGGTGATTGTTAAGTATCGTGCTACAGATAAACCTTAATTGAAATCGAATTGAAATAATGTTTCTTTTTCATCCTTTACCAGTGATGAATTTTATGTCCTTTTATACTTATCCCCAAGAATTCTAAAAAGAGGCACAAGTAGTGTTCTCACAAGAATTCATTTCATCATTAATACTTGTCACTGCAGCTTGCAAATCCCTGGGAAAGGGAAGGGGAACAGAGAGTAATTTATGAATGATATAATGTTGCATCCCTACTACTTTCGTACTGTTAGTTTTCTCAGAAAAGATGGATGATGTAAAAGGAAAACGGAATACGGAGCCAGGCCTATTATAGAAGCTATGAATCATGGTGATCCAAGAAAATGAATGGTCCAACTGAAAGATGGTCCTGTCCATAGGATCCTGACAGTTCAGCTTTGGAAGCAAAATACAAGTTAGCATAGGAGGAATAAATAGGAGTTATCTTGATAAGAATATGGAGTGTAAGCTTAGTCTTTTTGCCACCCCTTCCATTAAAAAAGGCACTTAAGGTTCTGTAGATCCACTTTGACTGATATTCCTAGCATTGTACTCTTGATGATATTTAGCACCAGAATTATAGAGGAAAGAAGTTGCTAAAGTTAAAGGTATATTCCATAAATTGAACAGCGCTCTGTTGTTATTTGGACAAAATTGCAACTGATCTGGAGCTTTTTCTTTTTCTCCTTTTAACCAAAGTTAATGGACTATCTTGTTCTCAAATTTCTGCAAATGGAGTATGATTGTTACTAGCTTAACTAGGAGGAAGAAATCCATTCTGGCTTGAACAATTTTATGCTATTTGATTGCATGTACCAGAGTTCATGTTCCAATTTTACTAAATTTAACATTAGATTGTGCTTCCTTTTAGGGATGAATACTTCAGAGGATGAGGGACATAGTAAATGATCAATCTTTTGAAAGAGGATGAAGCCAAAATAAACTATCAAAGTGTCCATGTCACAGTTCAATAATCTTGGGAAATTGCAGAAACAATTTATGCTCGGTAAAGCTTTGATCATTACAAGCAGTTCTCTCATCACTTGGACTATTATTTGAAAAAAGATAGAACAAAATATGAAGTTGGTGAGTCTTCCTTTCTTTATTCCTTCCACACTGTCATCATCAATGATCTTAATCTCAGTTGATCCTGCAAATGGATGATAATAATATAACCAGTAAGAACTCAAAAGTGCATGTAGTTGAAGAATTACACGAAAAGTGAAAATCATCTTGAAAACCAGAAAATAAATCTTACATGTCACAGTTGACGCTCTTAGAGACAGTAATGTCCAGTGTTACACCACACTTGTTAGGGAGAGCCTGGGCAGCATCTTCCTTCAAGTTTGCATACCGGTTTGCAGCAGCCTTGACACAATTACATGCGGCCCTCTTGTCAGCAGTGTTTTGAGCCATACCTTTCAATGCCGTCACACCAATACAGCAAGCTGCACTTGGATCACCACCCTGAGTAAGGTAAGGGATACATGGTGCTAAAGAAGCATCCACTTGACCACAAGTAAGAGCCTGTCCTGGCTCAACCATGAACTGAATCATGGCCAACACTGCAATTGCTGAAATGATGATTCCCTTCATATTCGCTTTCTGTTGAAAACTTGAAGTTCTTGGATTACTAGTTTTCTTTTCTTGGTTCTCCCTGTGGACTGGTATAGTTGAAGGCATAGAAGGGGATATATATAGTATTCTCAAGATGGCTAATAAAAGAAAGGTCAGTTAATGGCTTATGTAAAATCTGTTACACGATTTTGGCCTTTTCCCTTTCTTATGTCATGGATAATCAATTAGAAGATGAAAGTGATGGGGTCAAAACTGTTTTCCTTGCAGCTGTGATGTTTCCTGCAGTTGTTGTACTGTGTTCTGGGCATGTATATGAACTGAAGAATCTTATCCTCATTGATTGCAGAAAATTACACTTCCAGGCATTTCCTTATTTTAAAAAATGTTAGGTTGATATTACTAAAATGCATCTGTCCTCCAAAATTTGACAATAGTTAAGATACCTATTTCAAATTGCCAGTCTCAACAGCTAGACATAAGGGATGTTGTCCTAACTCTGTACAGCAGTTGAAAGTAACATGGCCTGGATATGGTGTAATGTAATAATGATTACTGATTATGATGATCTTACTGAACAACTCTAATATGTTATTTATCTGCGGGGAGGGGACTATCTAATAAGGAATCTGAGCATCAGTGGCGGAGGCAGGATCACCGCTAAGGGGGTTCAAAAAGAAAAAAGTTAAAAAAGATTGTAGCTAGTAGGAATTGAACCTATGACCTTACAAAGGTTTTGAACCCGCTTGACCACTAAGCTACACTTTTGAGCTATGTCACGGGGATATATATAGAGGTAAAAAACAGATTTTGCCTTATATATACAGTGTAATTCGGCCCCCTTCTGCCCCTGCTGAGCATCTAACCCAAAACCTTAAGGCAATAGGGTGGAGCAGCCCAGGTCCTTTTAAACCACTTTGGAAACTATTACAACAACCGAGAGGATAGGTGTAACATTCTCTAATGTCTGAGTAGTACAAGGAGGTGCTGTTAGAGCTCCTCTCACCCTTTCTTATTGTTATTCTTTCTTCTTTTTTTTCCTGAGATTTTCCCAGTTCAAACATTTTGGTATAGTTTTGAGCTCCTTTACAAAATTGCTATATTTGGCCTTCTTGTAATGTGGATTTCTCTTTGAAGCTTTGTATTTCCAAGTCAACTTTGTGGACATGCGAAAACATGCTAGAATAACTTAGTCTTTATCATTTCCATTACAAATGTGCTAGTCATCTAACTTCGACGGATCCATGTTGTGCAAAGAGAGTTCAATTGAATTCGCTAAGTAAAAAAAAACTACTCTTTGCATAGATTATGTTTAGAAATACAAATATGTGAAATATATAATTTGACATTAGGGCGGTGTCTGTAGAGATGCTCTGGCAGGTTCAAGGTTTACTTTCAGGTTTCTTGTCAAATTCTTTTATATAAATATAGTTTTGAGGAGGAAATCATTTTAACCTTTGTGGATTAGATAGTTTGATATTGAAATAATAAAATTATTTAGGAAACTTAGCATTTGACTTTGTTTAGTTTATTATTAGGTTGAAACTGGAGTTCCTTATGGTTAGAGCCAGTAAGCATTACAAATTAGTGATGAGAACGAAAAAATTAGTAATGTTTATATAATAAATTATTAATTCGTGAAATAGTGCGATTTTAGAAAGAAATTGTTGTGAGATCATTTATCATGACTGATACCTCATTCTGTCCTTTTCCTCCTCTACATTTAATTGACGTTTATGAGAAAATAAGTGGAGGACTAAAGCAGTTGCATCTGAGGTTAGCTGTTAGCTCGGTGATGTTTTTGTGATTAAGGAAGACTTTTATATTAGTTTGGAATTTCCATTTCTTTTACATGTCAATCATATATATGTTTCCAGTGGCATTTGTCTATTTCTGAGTGATATAGACGAATTCCGGAACACCTTATCTTCTTTAGTTGCAGTTTGTCTGGCTGAGAGCCTTAGACTGCTTTGTCTACAAGTACAATGGACAAATTTAAAGGATGAGTATAGTGTCAAGCCAAATCTTGGTTATGGAAAAACAATATACTGTATGATTTAACTAACTGCATTAGATGAGATTTGCAGTAACTGCTGATAGATTTTGATCAAATTCAAGAATGCATCACTTGGCAAGTTGGCAAATATACATTCTTTAGCAACTGATCTTACTTGGAATATATTGGATTGGGTGGTCTTTAAAGACAGGAGCTTCTTGCAACTTAAAAGTTGATCAAATGATGTTTCCTTGATGTGCCAAATAGGATTGGAGAGCAGTTCGTAAATTCTTTAAGTTGGTTTAGTCGTTTTTTTGCTCATTAATGTCTTGAATCCCAACCTTTATGACCCACAAGAGAAAGAAGGCTAACGCATTGGCATTGAACTGGATGTTTCTCATAGCAAGTTACCTGCCTTATTTTTCAGGTTAATAATCCTATTTATTATGGACTGTCACCTGTAGTTATTTTTATACTGTAAGTGTATAGAAGTTAAACTTAAGGCATTGAACTAGATGCCTGTCGATATCGCAGAACAACTTTTGTCTTTCCAAAGTTATATATGTAGTTCATACAGCCGTGTATGCTTTTATTGACTCTGCAGTATGAAATGCGCATTGGCATAATTGTCCAGAGAGGACAAAAGAGAGTATTGTATTGTATTATTATAATATCTCAAAGATTCTTATACATCAAAATAAGTAGATAAGGTAAAACTTGGTTCCATGTATTTCTGGTATGATCAGCCTGGCACATTTCTGGCTGCAATGAATCACTTCAGTTGATTCTGCAAAAAGAAACAAGTCAGAATGTGCAATAACACTAATTGAGATGTATAATCATATGATAATAAGCTTACATGTCACAGTTGATAGTACGAGAGACGGGAATATCCATTGTAACACCACATTTGCTAGGGAGAGCCTGAGCAGCATCATCCTTCAGATTTGCATATCGGTTGGCAGCAGCCTTGACACAATTGCAGGCTGTCCTTCTATCAGCTATAGATTGAGCCATAACTTTCAAGTCTTTCACTCCGTTACAACACGCAGTTCCAGGTTCGCCACCCTGAGTAAGGTAAGGGACACAAGGTGCTAAAGAAGCATCCACTTGACCACAGGTAAGAGCCTGTCCTGGCTCAACCATGAGCTGAATCATGACTAACACTGTAATCACTGAAATGATGATACCCTTCATCTTTCTTGTGTGTGGAATATTTCAAGGTTAGGCTTGTTTGCTTCTTTAGCTCCTTTGTTGTTTTTGGGATGTTAGAAGGAAAGCACAGAGGGTGTATTTATTGTAGTAGTTATGATTGCTTCACTGTTTTGAGTGGTTTCTTGCTTAAGTAAGATCTGTTATTCTATTTTGGCTCCTTTTGTTTGTTTTGCTTTTTTCAATGCATTTCTGCCACACACTGTTTAGTGCAAGCCGTTGAAACCGTTACTGTTCCCGTCATTTATCAACTTGTTGGTGGTTCCATCAGTTCTGTTGATTTTTTGGTGAATCAAAACTCTTTACTTTCAGGACATACAAAGGGCAAAGAACTACTTCTGCAATGTGAGAATTTGTTCCTAAGTTGCTCCGACACCGCAGTTTAGGTGCCGCACCTATGTCGACACGACACTAGTATGGGTGTGGGTATTGGTATGAGATCCGTATCGGATTTGGTCAAACAATTTTGGGTACTTTGACCACGACGGACGAAAAAATTCGAGGCGAGATACAATTTGATTCCCGAAATCAGAACCAAAACTAGGGTACATTTGAAGAAAATAACATACCTTGACTAGGAAATCAATGCTTTACTTATCTACAACTTGAGAATAAAAGAAATCCACACTTTATTAGCTATACGTAAGTATTCCACAAAAATTTTCATAATTTAGAGATTTTTTTTTGAATTATTTTTAGCCGGATCCCTGCATCCGTACCCCCGAATCTTAGAATTTACATTTCGAAGTATCCGACCTCTAGATCCGCACCCATGTCGGATACCCACACCCCTGTCCGAGCAACTTAGATTTGTTCTACTCTGGTGGTGGACTGAAAGACTCAACTTGTGTTTGGAGTTCTAAAAAGCCTTTATCAAAACTGAACCTGTCAATTCTCTGCTTGTTCCACTAATATATCGAGTTCACGAACTGAACTTAGTGAATAAATCTCTCTTTCTTTTACTCGTACCAATTTTGGACTGATGAAATTGGTCAATAATAGGTGCCCTATCAGCTAAGAGATTTTTTTAAAGAAGGATTAACAGCAACAACAATTACAACTCATTCCCAAGCAAGTCTGGGGTCGGCCATGACAATAAAATGTAACAGAGACTGTTGAAATGTGCATAGATAACAAGATTTATGAATCAGTACAGAGATAAAAAGAGATGGTTTCGTTTCATCCCATCAATTCTTATATTACATGAACTGAAACACACAAGTAATTCTGAAGTATACTAAAAATTAATGTTTGCTTTATCAGTTAGGACATTATGCATGTTAGGAGATCCCAAAAAGATTGCACAGATTACCCTTCTCCTGCTTTAATTTATTTAAGGAATCAAAGCTATTTTACTAAGGTCATTGGCTATCAGTCTTCTATGTTACCAAGTTATATATATATGCAGTCTGTTAGAACTATGAAGCCCGTATGCTGAACTTCATCTCTTTCCATTTCATGAACAGGATCATATGTAGTGTCCTCAAATTCAAATAAGATATGGTTCTTAATTACCTTAGTTTCTCCAAGATATTGTCAGAAGCCGAAGACAATATGTCCCCCCACCATACAGATTTCCAGAAATTATAAAGGGAGAAAGAATCTGATTTGGATAATTTTTTCCCTATAAATGACATACCAAGATCAAGAAAAAGCCAAACTAGTGTAACAGTTCCGACCTATCCCCAAACAACATTCTGTTTACTTGTTTGTTTGCACTCATTAGGAGAGTCCTATATATACCTACCACAGCCTGCTTCAAACATCATAGCAATTCAGAGAGTTTAGGAAAACATACAACTTGAATTTATAACCCTATATATCTTCCACTAACAAGAAAGATGAAGGGAATCATTATTTCAGCAATTGCAGTGTTGGCCATGATTCAGTTCATGGTTGAGCCAGGACAGGCTCTTACTTGTGGTCAAGTAGATGCTTCTTTAGCACCATGTATCCCTTACCTTACTCAGGGCGGCAATCCAGGAGCAGCTTGCTGTAATGGCGTGAATGCATTGAAAGGTATGGCTCAAAACACCGCTGACAAGAGGGCGGCATGTAATTGTGTCAAGGCTGCTGCCAACAAATATGCAAACTTGAAGGAAGACGCTGCCCAGGCTCTCCCTAGCAAGTGTGGTGTAACATTGGACATTACTGTTTCTAAAAGCGTCAACTGTGACATGTAAGATTTATTATCTGCTTTTCAGGATAATTTTCACTTTTCATGTAATTCTTCAACTACATGAGCTTTTGAGTTCTGACTGGTTATATTATTATCAACCATTTGCAGGATCAACTGAGATTGAGGTTATTGATGATGACAGTGTGGAAGAAATAAAGAGAGGAAGACTCACCAAATTCATATTTTGTTCTATCTTTTTTTTTTCAAATAGTAGTCCAAATGATGAGAGAACTACTGCTTGTAATGATCAAATTAAAGCCTTACTAAGCTTGTAGCATTTCACTTCTATTTCAGCAGTTCCAAATTTAATGAACCGCGATATAGACATTTTGATATGTTTGCTTTTGCTTCATATTCTTTCCTAAGATTCATTATTTACTCTATTCATAATACTCTTCACCGTTCATTTTTAAAGGAATCACAAACTGGGATCTTTTATGCAATGTAGAGTTTTTTGGACAGGATCACTGGGTCAGTATCATGTATATAAACCTATGGTACATGCAATCAAACTGCATAAAATTGTTGAAGCCATTTCTTCCTCCTAGTTGAGCAAGTAACATATTATTATTAGTCTTATAACAGAAGGTTTAAAGTTTTTCTGGATCTTCACTAAGGTAGGCAAGCTAAAATGAGAAAACTGAGGAGAAAGCAACTTCTTGAAAAGATAAAATAAAATAGAGAACTTCAACTTCGTAATATTAATCACATCAGGTAGAAGTATAACTCTGTATTCTAATTCTCAATAAATATATCAAAATTGATGGCAGTACGTAACCAATAAGTTATCAGTTTCTTCCGTGTCAGTCTAAAATATAGTGAGGGAGTAATTTTAGCGATCATTTTTTGTGAGAAATTTGCGACTGATAGATCCCTCGGCATATGTTATTAGCCCAAATTGGAAAATCATACTTAAGTGAATTTCATGGTACAAAATTACTCTCTCTTTATTCTGCTATAATTAAGCTAACCAATTAATATAAACTTCTCAGAAAAAGTATAAAAAGAACACTGGGTTGCAGTTGGGTGGAACATTAACTTCCGAAGAGATGATCGGAGGAGAAAAAGAGCTGAGAGAGATGCTAAGCTACAAGAAGGTTCTTAAGCCTAGTAAATAGTAAATGAAAGTTACGTAATTAAGCTTTATGTAAACGATGACCTAAATTATGTGTGAAAAAGGATCACTCCTAACTAATCAATCAAGTGAAAGGAGTCTGCTTACATACTCACTTCGGCACTCCCCTTGTCACGACACAAAATTCAACTAGCCGTGATGACACCTAACTCAACCCTCTAGGTAGGCCAGTTAACATTAAACCAATTCAAATGCGATTCACTAAGAGAAGAAATGATAATATTGTAGGCATATAAATTTTATTGGAATTAAATCCGTAAAATAATTTGGACTATATTTTAAATTCAAGATATATTAGTTCAAACAAATTTATTGGGCTAATATAATTGGATTAGTTATATAAGTCCAATATATATGGATTAAATAAATAAGTCTTAATCCATTGGGCTAGCCCATCTCACTTAATTAGGCCCAATATGTCATATTCCTAGAGGCCCAGTTTGGTGCCACGTGTCAAATGACGTGGCATGCCAAGTCAAACGGAAGAGCTAATAGGATCATGCCACGTATCAAAATGTCAAGGCATGCCAAGTCACATTAAAAGGCTAGTGAAGTCGCGCCACATGTGCAAGTGACATGTTCTAGCCAATCAAATGCGGCCTTGTCACACTTCAATCTGATTGGTCGGAAAGAGTTTGTTCTTATCATAACTCTTCCCTCCCACAATTATAAATAGGGGTCTTCATAACCCAAAAAATACATCAGAAGTTATAACAAGAAGCAAGAAAGAGCTCGTAGATTAAACACTGCAAATTCCTCCACAAGTTTCAAGTTCAAGCAATCAAGTGAGTTCAAGCAATCAAGTTCAAGCTCAAGAACGAAGAACAAAGCAAATTCAAGCTCAAAAATGAAGAACAAATCAAGTTCAAGTTAAAAAAATCAAGCTCAAGCAAAAGAACAAGATCATCGTTCGTGGCAACAACTACATATTCAAGATCAAGCTCGAAGGCCCTTGAATCTTTTTACTATTGGAAAGAAGAATCAGAGGATTCATAGAGATTGTACGCTCAAATATTTGAAATCAAATACTACGATTGTTGCGATATTTTTCGGTCTTGATTTGATTTTCTCGACGCAATTTATTGTCTACAAATTCTGGCACGCCCAGTGGGACTGAAGGTGAAGAAAATGAACTCAAGCATCTTGTCGCCATTTCTGAAGTTGAGAAAGAAGAATGGCGACAACCCATTATCGACTACTTATGCTATGGGATACTTCCAAAAAATCCAAGGAGAAGGACTGAAATCCGTCGCCGTGCACCTCGCTTCCTTTACTACAAAGATACTCTATACAGAAGGTCATTCAAGAGAGTACTCTTGTGATGCTTAGGGGAAGAAGAAGCACTCCAAGCTTTGCAAGAGGCACATTCTGGGGTATGTGGGTCACACCAATCTAGATCAAAGCTCCACTTCCATATAAAAAGGATGGGATATTATTGGCCAACGATGGTAAAAGATTGCTTGGACTACACTCGAAGATGCAAGGCTTGTCAATTCCATGCAAATTTTATTCATCAACCTCCTGAAGTGTTGCACCCGACTGTGGCATCCTGGCCGTTTGACGCTTGGGGATTGGATGTTGTTGGACCACTGCCAAAGTCCTCTAGTGGGCACCTATACATCTTGACTACAACTGAATACTTCTCAAAATGGGTTAAAGATGTTGCTCTTAAGGAGGTAAATAAGGAAAATATTGCAAGTTTCATCCGAGTAAACATAATCTATCGCTTTGGCATTCCTCATTACATAATAACGGATAATGGAAAGCCATTCGATAATAGGTTGATGAACAAGATTTGTGATCTCTTTGGCTTCAAGCAATATAACTCTTCGATGTACAATGTTGCCGCCAATGGTCTAGCTGAGGCATTCAACAAAACTCTATGCAACTTGTTAAAGAAAGTCGTCTCCAAATCCAAATGAGATTGGAATGACCGTATGGAAGAAGCTCTATGGGCATATAGGATGACTCACCGCACGCCAACACAAGCGACTCCTTATTCACTCGTTTATGGAGTCGAAGCCGTCTTGTATGTTATCAAGATTGTCTCGCGCCTTCAATAAAAGAGTTTGCCCGAGATCCTTTCAAGTAAGAGATCAAGTCCTTGCCGTACGAAGACCCATAATTACTTCCCATAAACTATAGGGAAGTTCACTTCAAAATGGGATGGGACATATGTTGTACAGGAAGCTTATTCAAGTGGGGCTTACAAGCTAGTTGATGCAGATAGCATGAGAATCGGCCCTATCAATGGCAAGTTTTTGAAGAAGTATTATCCTTGAAGATGTAACGCTCCTTGACACATGAGCCTAAACTGCATGTTCCTACACTCCTGGCCCGCACGAGTCTAAACTATGTACGGCCCACCCAAAAAAGAAATGGCCCTCTAGGTTGAAAACCTCGAAAGGGGCGGCCTAGGGAAACATTAGGACATAAAAAAATAAAATAAAAAATAAGAAAATAAAAAAAAAATCACCCATTCTAAACTACGGTATGACTTGATACTCTTCACCAAGGTACGTAGGCAGCTTAGAGTTTTATTCTGAGTTCAGTCGCATAAGTTCAAAAGATACATATTGCCCTAGTCGTTGTCCAAATGAAGTATGATGGAAGTAATTCATTCAAACGACATGTGAAAATCAGACTGAAATTTCATTCTTCTTTTGAACTTTGGATCTCATATGACTTACAGGGGGCAAGCCTTCATGATAAATCAGTGTCTTCAATAGGGCGATTATAGTCTTTTAAGAGGCTACCAAGTATTTGCACTGAAGTTCAGGGATATTATATGTCTTCATGTTTACCAAATCTTTAAGTCCTCCGGTCTTCAAGTTTGCTGCTCTTCAAGTTGAAATGTTTAAACCCTCCAAGTCTCCAAGTTGAAGTCTTCAAGTCCGTTACTCTTCAAGTTGAAGTCTCCAAGTTGAAATATTCAAGTCTGCCGGTCTTCAAGTTGAAGTCTTCACGTTCGCCACTCTTCAAGTTGAAGTCTGCAAAATCCATCAAATCTTTAAAGTTTCCAAATATTCAAGTTAATGTCGTCAAGTCCACGAAGTCTTCGAGTTGAAGATTTATAATTTTCCAATCTTAAGGTGGACATATAAGTCCCTTTGCACCTTAAGTTGGCCTCTGCGTGGGTTTGTACTTAAAAGGAAACTATAACTTTCCAATCTTAAGGTGGACATATAAGTCCATTTACACCTTAAGTTGGCCTCTTCGTGGGTTTGTCCTTNTCAAGTCCACGAAGTCTTCAAGTTGAAACTTTATAATTTTCCAATCTTAAGGTGGACATATAAATCCCTTTGCACCTTAAGTTGGACTCTTCGTGGGTTTGTCCTTAAAAGGAAACTATAACTTTCCAATCTTAAGGTGGACATATAAGTCCCTTTGCACCTTAAGTTGGCCTCTGTGTGGGTTTGTCCTTAAAAGGAAACTATATTTTTCAATCTTAAGGTGGACATGTAAGTCTCTTGAGAGTAATCTCTCGGATAGTCGGGGCACATTGAGAGTAATCACTCCGATAGTCGAGGCACATTGGGAGTAATCTCTCCGATAGTCGGGGCACATTGAGAGTAATCTCTCCAATAGTTGAGGCACATTGAGAGTAATCTCTCCGATAGTCGGGTCATTTTGAGAGTAATCTCTCTGATAGTCGAGCCACATTGAGAGTAATCTCTCCAATAGTCGGGTCATTTTGAGAGTAATATCTCCGATAGTCAAGCCACATTGAGAGTAATCTCTCCGATAGTCGGGTCATTTTGAGAGTAATATCTCCGATAGTCAAGCCACATTGAGAGTAATCTCTCCGATAGTCGGGTCATTTTGAGAGTAATCTCTCCGATAGGCAAGCCACATTGAGAGTAATCTTTCTAATAGTCGGGCAGGGATGAGTACCCATTCCTTCAGACCCTCAAATTGTGTTCTTCATGCATGGAGGAATATACTCTCACTTTCTTGACCTACAAAAAAAAAAGACAACAAAAGAAGAAAAGCACAAGAAAAGAAGAAGAAATTACCTTCGCGTTAATGCTTCCGAATCATCAAAGGTAGACTCGATGTGGACTATAAACACAACAATTGATGCCAACTGAATGAAAGGCATGACCTATTTATAGGTGCAGTGATGCTGCTCTTAAGATGACTAATAACGATATGGGTGTAGACAATAAATTTGCGTCAAGAAAATAAAATCAAGACCGAAAAATATCGCAACAATCGTAGTATTTTATTTTAAATATTTGAGTGTTA